GACCCAGAAGTAAGCATACCTGGCCACAGGTTTAACGTGCTAATGTGCTGAGAAGCTGTGAATTTTATCTTATGTCTCTGGGCAGAGGACACATCAGACCAAGATGGGTGTTACCAAAGATTTAAGGCATAAAATTCTGAACACAAATATTATATCAAAGGTTTCCTGGAAATCAAAGTTAATTAACCTAGAATAATCTATGAGGAAATCCCCACAGTCCCATAACACAGAATGTAAGGACTGTCAGATGAAATGGTTTATATTGGAGAATGAAAACAAAATCCTCTCATATCTCCTTGGATGTTGCACAAGGATCTACCTTCTCAAAATCCAAAATGACTTCCCTCAGCCTTCACTTGGAAAGATGGGAGAAGAGGCTAGGATACTGGAGAATGGCCCATTAACAGCCATTTTCCATGTCTGAAAAGGCAGTGGAGGTGGGTTTAAAGAATCATCAGTCAGCCCAGCCAGGCGTGGCTCAGCAGTTGAGCATCGACCTAGGATCCAGGAGATTGAGGCTCGATTCCCAGAGCAGGGCGTGCAGGAGGGAGCTAATCAATGGCGATTCTCTCATCATTGATATTTCTATCTCTTCCTCTCTTTGAAATCAATAAAGATATATTTTTTAAAAAACAAAAAAACAAACAGAAAGAGTCATCATTCAGCTACACCATTGTTTTCTCTTCCCAGGTCTAAAGGACTCTGGAGATCCCCCTCTTCCAGCTAAATAAGAAAACACATGAATCCTATTAAATGCATGGTTAGGAAAAGAGGTAATTTCAAGGTGGGGAACTTTTATACTCAGGCCTACTTCCTAGAGAGGGGACTATTATAAAGGTTGAGGCCTATGTAAAAAGACAATACAGAAGTTGAAGGAAACACTCTGGCAGGTCATTTTGCCAAACAAGCCACTATGATCTTATCGAAGTCTTCAAAAGATAAATTTCTGGAGGGATTCAAAGAAGACATTATAAAATATCAACATTTAGTCCCTGATTTTGAAAAGGAGGAATGGAAAAAATTTGGTTGTATCCTTCACTCAATCTTAGTAACTCTCAGTATGGCCACCTGGTGGCTCCAGATGATTTTAAGTAGATATTAGCTAAATTTATTCATTAAACTATCTATCATGAAATAGACAGATAGGTTATTATCCTAAGTCAACATTGATGGGGAAACGTTAAAAAGACAGCTGAAGTTATTTTCAGATTATGTGTCACCTACCAACAACATAATCCTAAAAAAACTGCAAAGATGGAACATGACCAGGAACCAAAGTCTCAAGGACCCTTTGACAGTGATTTGTTAAATATCTCCTTATAAGTTTACTTTCCTCATTTTAACCACTTTTTTTCTATCTGTGACATACATTTTGATGTTATCATTTGGTACAAAAATTGGGTTGTGTTTTCATTATGCTTTGTTACATTTTTCATTGTATAGAGATTTCATCCTAAGCGTTGAAGATTACAAGAAGTGAAATAATGAAGAACAAAGCTTCTCAATGAGAAATTACAAAACCAATTCACTCACATACTTTATTGTCCGAACTCAAAGCCCCTCAGACTGGTTCCTCCAGGGCTAAAAAAGAAAATGAAAGGACATAATCCACTGGAAGTCTTCTTCATAGAAGAGTTTTAATAACTTGCATTCAGTCACACATCTAGAAATTGTTGGAGCCAGTATTAGAACCATGCCCACCCCCAACCCATCAGAGCCAAATTAGGAAGCCCTGGAGGTAACAGGGTGACAAAACTAATTCACTTTGCTCGGCTGGCATGGCTAAATGGTTGAGCATTGACCTATGAACCAGGAGGTCACTGTTCAATACCTGGCCTGGGGCTGCTGGCTCAATCCCCAGTAGGAGGCCTGCAGGAGGCAGCCTGTTAATGACTCTCTCTCATCATTGATGTTTCTGTCTCTCTCTCCCTCTCCCTTCCTCTCTCTGGGGAAAAAAACAACAACCCAGAAAAAAAAAAAAGAAAAGAAAACGGATTCATCTTGGCAGATTCTGAGAACTCCTAAGAACCTGCAATTCTGTTTTGAAGCTGGTAATGGGCCAGCAAATAAAACTCAAGGCTTGCCAATTGTAAGAAACTTAAGATGGGGTCTATGCATAAAAACTAGGACCCCAACTGACTATACTTCCAAAATAAAACTAAGTCAGAAATAAACTTAGCCATCCAGATGGGAATGGCAAGGGAAGTTGTCTTGATTCTGCCCTTCTCAAGTATGTCTTGACCTAATAATTAATTACTACAAACCAGCCTGTGTCTGACTCATGCTATGTGTAGGAACGTGAAAAATTTAAAAGATAATATGAAGTGGCCTCAGGTTGAATGCATTCGCAAGAGAATGGCCCAAGCAAAAAATTATCAATTTATAAAAAGATGATGCCCAATTTAAAAAACCCCAGATAGGACAAAAATTTAAATGTTAAGATAGAAACTTCAGCATTCTTAGTAGAAAGTACAGTGAGTATTTTTAGACCTCAAGGCAGGAAAGGATTTCTTAAGCAAGACACTATAAAGATTGATGAATTTGACTATATTAAAATTAAAAATTTTATTCACCAAAAGACACTTTAAAGAAACTGAAAAGCCCTAGCCAGTTTGGCTCAGTGTTTAGAGTGCCAGACAGTGGACTGAAGGGTCCTGGTTCGATTCCGGCCAAGGGTATGCACCTGAGTTGCAGTCTTGATCTCCGACCCTGTTTGGGGCACATGCAAGAGGCAACCAATTGATGTACACCCATGTTTCTCTCCTCTCTCTCTCTCTCCCTCTCTCTCTCTCCTCTTGCTCTCATTTTCTGTCTTCCCTTCCACTCGCTCTGAAAAACAATGGTAAAAGTATCCTTGCAGGAGGATAAAAAAAGAAACTGAAAAGCAATTTAAACTAGAAGACATTCAAAATACATGCAATTGAGAAATGATTAGTAAGAGACTGAAGAATACATTAAAGAAAAAATTTTCACATATTTATATCCTCAAGACTTGTTTTTTACAATGTGCATGCACTAGTATGTTGATTTTGATTTTTATTTATTTTTAAAATATGTTATTATTGATTTGAGAGATAGGAAGGGGAGGGGGGAAGAGAGAGAGAGAGAGAGAGAGAGAGAGAGAGAGAGAGAGAGAGAGAGAGAGAGAGAGAAACATCGATTGGTTACTTCCTGCACACCCCCTACTGGGGATCCAGCCCAAAGCCCTGATATGTGCCCTGAAGGGAAATCCAACCAGTGACCTCTTGGTGCATGGGAGATGCTCAGCCACTGAGCCACACTGGCCAGGGCTATTATGTTGATTTTTAAAATTAAATTGAAGAAGTAAAAATACCCACTAAAGTTAGATTAAATATCTTCTCTTATACAGATTATCTTTTGGTAATTGTTGATGCCTAGATGATGTGGAAGAGGGAATTCATTATATTAATACTATCTCCTTTATATAAATGATCAAAATTTTCCATTAAAATGATTTTAAAAACAACACATAGCTAGTTGTAAGAACAAAACAGTTTGTACAGCAGATGCTATCTATTCTAAAACAACTATCAAACACTATATTTAGAAATGCACTAGAAAAAGTATAAGAACATACCTGAAATGATATAGACCAGCTTCAGGACAATGATTTCCTGTGGGGAGGAACAGGAAAGATGTTTTAGCGATATCTGTTTTAAAGAGGCGAGAAGTGAGGCAAACGTAGGAAAATGTTAGCATATTGTGGGCGTTGTTTATAGGTGTTTGTTACATAATTTTTTGAGTGCGTGAAATCTTTCATAACTTAAATATCTAACTAAGATTAAGAACATTGGGAAGAAATGTGCATCAACATGAATTGTCTTAGTATTTTGGAAATAAACTGGATTTGTCTACACTTGCTATGTTTTCTATAAGGAACACCTTTTATATTTTAAAATACGAAACACTTGCTTGAATGATTTAGAGGTAGTAACTAGCCTGAGAGTCAGAAGGTAACAGGAAGCAGAAGAGAGAAAAATGTAGATTCCACGAGCCTGCCCTCGGCCTGATGTACCTACCTACCTACCTAGCTCTGGAAGGTAACGTAATCTAGGCACTGAAAGTGATTCCCAGTCAACAGCGTCGCCAATTCAAACCACACTGTTACTCAGCTATGCGAGGGGCAGGAGCCTTAGAGGCCGAGTGATACCTTCCTTGGTGGAGATGACCACGGAGCACCCTCGGGACCCAGCTGGAGCCAAATAAATACTAATTCAAGGTGGAAAAGGAAGGCCTGGGGGTTGATGCAGAGCAGGAGCCTCCTGCAGGCCAGGGCGCCCAAGGTCAATTGGGCTGGGGGTGGGGGTAACACTGGAAGGG